CAGCAGAGGCCTTCCTTGACCTCCATCCTCCTCAGCACTAGCCACCATCTGTAATTACTTATCTACATGTGGCGTGTTCATCCCCCTACCTAGCATACAAGCTCTGTGGGAGCGGGGATGGTGACCTGTTCTCCACTTTATTGCCAGAGCCGGACACCGAACCTGGCACCCAGTGAGAGCCCCAAACCCACCTGTTGAATGAATGAGTAAATAATAAAGGAATGACTACCCCCTGGGACAATCAGCACCATCAAACCTCCAAAACCAGATCCCACATGGGCCTGGTGTTCTGGAAAGACACAGGTAACCTTTTCCCCTTGGGTGAAATAACACCCCCCCACCCCACCCCCACATCAAGCCCACATCGGGACCTCTCTGCACTCACACTGTCTCCTGCTAATCCGGCGGGCTTAGTGCGGACCACCTTGCTCTCAGGAAATGACCCAGAGCTCCTCAGCTCAGAAAAGCAGAACTCCACCCTGGAGCTGAGCCAAGGTCACGGACTCGCATTACAGGGGCTGGGTGGAGGGGCCCCGAGTCCTCTGCATTGCTCTGCCCCTGGCCATAAGCCTGGTCCTTCAGAAGAACAAAGGCAGGAAGAGAGCAGAGGCCTCCGGGGCCTTGCCACGGCCCCGGGAGTGTAGGTGAAGCCTGGCGGTCTAAGACCCAAGGCAGGGGGGCGACAGAGGGTGGGCCAGGCGTGGGCCCGAGGACAAGGCGTTTGGGAACAGACACCTCCACTTCCGGCTCTGAAACCAGCTGAAAGCCTGGCTTCAAACCCTCATTCCAACATCTCTATTTCTGAAGGTCACGAGGATGCTCTTGAGTCTGAGCCTCAGTTTCCACAGCTGTCAAAACAAGTTGCACAATTTCTCCTTGAAGGGGACTGCTGAGCTCTTTGCCCCAGATGCTACGTCTGGCTGCACCTACCCCGCTCCTGTCTCCCAGAATGAGCCCCATATTCACGTGAGAAACATATAACCGGATATCAATTACACTCAGTGACTTCCCCCGCCCCCCAAAAATCTGGGTTCCCCAGACTATTGGAGGTCGAGCCATGCAACCTGATTCACAATGACTTGACTCTGTCAAATAACAGGGCTTAGCTGACTTCTGAATTTAGCGTCTGCCTGTCCACAGCAGCCACTCGATATATATTTTTCAATGAACGAATCAAAGACAGGATGAGTTGTGTCTATATTGATCCTAGCAATCCAGTCTGATAAACTAATATCTTTTTTCACAGTCAGGAAGCCAGGCGCTGATTCACCTTGTCCTTTGATACTACAGACAGACATGTGGCAAGAGAAAAAAAAGCCTATTTAGACCATTATAAAGCTCCAGACTTTGACATGCTTCCTTTTGCTGGAGACCCTGGGGAAACTGGGTAAGTGGAGTATCAAACCTCCTTATTTCTTTTAGAGATTATCTGTCCATTTCCCCAGGCTTATTCTTTCAGAAAACAAGAACTGCTCAGCCAAAAAAAAAAAAAAAAAAGGAAAATTAAATAGTCTCCATTCCATATGTCGGCTGTCACCAAATGTTCGCAAGGATATTTAGCGGAAGCATTCCTGTTTCGGTCTTGCTCCATACATCCTGAACGAGGAAAAAACATTACCTAAGACTGAGATTGGGCAAAGGAATCTCAGAAGACCTGTCAGTTCCTTGTCACACATGCTGAAGGCTCATGGTGACTGTAGGTTATCTAGCTTCCTACTGCCCTGCCTCGGCCTTCACAGGCAAAACAGAGCTCCCTGGAGCTCCCACGTGCCAGTCCACAAATGCAGCAGCACCTCAGGGCAAGGGCCGGACAGACACTTCTGAGTCCCATACAGGTGCCTTTGCTCTAAGAACACACCTCCCAAAGCACAGGTGGCAAACACAAGGCCCTCGGGCTGAGTCCGGCCCTCCACCTTGTCTTATCCGGCCTGGCACCTTGTTTCTTTTTCTACCCGGCGGCAGCACTGAGCCCTTACTTAAGTTAAGGAGTAGTTACGTTTATACAGCCCTAAAATTACATTTGGCCCTTTGAAGGCAACCACGAGGCTGATGGGGCCCCCGGTGAAAATTAGTTTGACACCCCTGTCCCAAAGCAAACCCACAGAAAGGAAGACCATCAGTGAGCCGTTCCCTTTGCAAGGGGTTCTGGAGTTCCAGAACGAAGGGCCTATTTTTTCCTTGAACTACATTTAAAAGATGAAAAAACTGAGGCTTGGAGAGGTTAAGGAATTTCACCAATTTAACACAGAGGGGGTGGAGCCAAGGGTTTGTGGGGTGTGTGTGTGTGTGTGTGTGTGTGTTTAATGTGTTTACAACGGGCTTCATGTAAAGGAAACGTGACTAGCACATGCCATCTGGCAAGGGTCCTGGAACAGACAGAGCATGGGGTGCCCGCACCAGGGGCGGACGAAGGTGACTTGCCTACCAAACACAGCGTGCATGCCAAGAGCATGCGTCTAAAGTCAGAGGGTCTGGGTCCGAGTCCCAGCTGAGTCACCGACATAAGCCGTGGGACGGAGGCGAGTCACGGAACTCCTTTGCTTTTTGTTTCTCCTCTCCCAGAGATGGAGATCATTAATCCAAGCAAGCCTTGTGTCCTTCCTGGAATCACTGGGGACGTCGAACAAACAGGAAAGCTGGCAGAGGCTGTGAGGGCCGATCCAGAAGTCAGGTAACCCTTGCTTGCACACACGAATGAAAAAAAAAAAAGAGCCGCCCAGAAACTCACCTGCAGCCATCCTTGCTCAAGCTCAGTCTGTTTCCTCTTACTAAGAAAGGGATCCATTGGAATGTGAGGTTTGGTGACTCGGGGTGGACACGCAGCTCTTGCAGAATGTGCCTCGCTGTTCTGAGCACCCGTGATCCGCTCTGTCACAACCGGCCATCTCTCAGTACCCTAGGACAGTCACACGGGCCCTGAGCCTGTCACTTCATGTGTACCAGACACCAATAAGGTGGCAGGAGTGCCCAGAGCACCGCACACACTGTGAACAGACAAAAGGAGCCACCACTGCCCGGGACAAAGGTCACGGCCACGTGTGAGACATGAGAGAGGTGGCCGCTGTGGACGAGAGTTGCTAGGGCTCCTCTGCAGCGCCCCTGGCCACCCCAGTCTGCGCTGCAGGGTGCAGCCCACCCTGAGGCCGGCTGTCTCCTGCTCTCTCTGCTGTTTTCTGTCTCTGGTATTCATCTATTCTCAAAGCCGAATAAGCCCTTCAAGTTCTGCCCAGAAAGGGCGTCATATGATTGAACCAATACAGGGATGACCAGAACAATCAAACACACACACACACACACACACACACACACACACACATACAGCACCTGGAAAGCTCTGGATGGATTCACTGAGCCTGTCAGAAAAGCCCGCACTGGGGGAAGCGCTTTACAGAACAAGCCGGAGGAACGGATGATTGCCCGACACATACTACGACGGGGCTCAACCTCGAGCGTGCGCCAGAACCAGCTGGAGTGCGTGAGAAAACACAGAAACCCAGAGTTCCCGAGTCAGCTGCAATGCCAGTGCCGGTCCAGAGACGGCACTTGAAAGATCACTGTCATTGTAAACGAGCCAGAGCTGCCCAGACCGTCATTCTCACTGGGACAACTTCAGATGCTGATTCATCCCCTTTGACCCCCCACAGGGAGCCTTAAGGAAACCCCTGATGGGAAGTGAACAGCCATCTCACCCCCCCTGCCCTCTCCTGCCCTTTACACACACCCGTGCTGCCACGGATGAGGACAATCACCAAGCATCCTGGAGAAATATCTCCCAGAGCAGAGCCCAGTTCTCACCTGGGTACAGGATGGTTTTGCAAAAGGAGGGAGTTATGCTGCAGATCAGAGGATGCGGCCGTGCAGGAAGAGCGCTCGGGGATTCCCGGGGGCAGGGCTCTGAGCTGATGCACGGTCTCTGCAACCTCAGCGACGAGTATGTGCCCCTGGGACGGTGCCAGCAAAACGTGGTGACCTGGTTTTCTTTTCACCCATTTATCTCGATGCTCTGCCACAGTGCGCTGTGATTCCCATCCCCCGCCCCAAGAACGCCAACAACCCAGAGCAAAGGAAAGTGGCCAGTCACCACCAGCACACACCACCTCTGTCGGATGTCAGGCTCAGAGGATCTCTGGCCTGGAAGGGACCATATAAATATCTCTTTCCTTCCCAAAGCTGATTACATTATACAAGTCACTATTTTACTAACAGCAGGAGTTACTGCTAAGATAATACTGTTTCGGTTTTATGGGGGGTTAACGGAAGTTCCTATGGAGAGCACGGTTGTGAATAATTTAAACACTGTGATAAGAGCCCATCCCACAGTGTCTTCTGGGGTTCAGATGGGAAAACATGGCCCATATTCGTCATACATCAGTGGGACCTTTTCTGGCTATGGGACAGAAGAGGTCACATTCATTTAGTGCTGCAATTGGTGGGCCTGAAAACCAACTTCAGGCTAAATAAGGAAAAAAGAACGAAGAGTGATTCATTCGTGGCATTTTGGCAAATATATACCATGCGTGTGTTCGCAAATGCCTGGTGTTTCAGCTGATTTTGTGCGCACAAAGGGGCACATTTGGTGAAACAAATGTGACTTTCCTGCTCATTAAAACAATCCGACCAGCTCTTTCTCCCATGCAAAACTGCACTGTAGTTCCCACGCTCCGAGGGCCTGGTGTGCTATAAACCCACAAAGTCTTGAGTCAAACACCATTCTCCAAAGTAGTGACACCAATACAACCTCCACTTACCCACAAATTTTAAGTTGATCTCAGCTATACCACATTCAGGATACGGGCCACAAGACCAAACAGCTGTATTCTGAAAATTCTGGAGGAGAGCTCAGCTACAGGTGACAGTACTGGCTGGGGCCTCCAGGACACTCATTAAATAGTCTTGCCCTCTTCCTATCCCCAAAAGTCCACCCATCGGCATGCACTGGTGAGGCCATGCAAGGGCTGCCGGCACCCCTCACACCCCTGGCGGTTCCCTGTTTTGCTCACCTGTTTTCCAGGAGCGTCATGCACACCACCTCTCGCACCCCGGGGTTGTTGGCCTTCTCCACCGAGCAGCCCTGCAAGTTCCACGTGGCCAGCCTCAGCACAGGCCGCCCGTCCCTTGTGCCTCCAAAAGCCTCCACGGAAGGTCGAGTGGAGATAATCTGAGTGGGCCCACCTGGCGGCAGGTCCAGGTCCTCGCTCTGCAGGCTCAGGGAGGTGGGGCTGGGGTGAGGCTTGGCGGTGAAGGTCAGGCCCCCGTTGGTGTGGGTGGACGGGGGCCTGGACCTCTCCGCGAACACCTGGTGCCGTATCCTGTCCAGGAAGGCGGCATTGATACCGCCCATCCTCACCAGGTCCTCGACGCTGCGGAAGGGCCCGTGCTCCCGGCGGTAGTCCACAATGCTGACAGCCATCTTCTCCGTGAGTCCTCGGATGCTCATGAGCTGAGCTGGGGTGGCCGTGTTGATGTTGACGCGTGGGGTGAGAGGCACGGTGGTGGCCAGGTGGTGAGGCTGCTGCTCCAACAGCAGGTCCCTCCGCAAGGAGCTGGGAGAGTGCTGCGCAGAGCTGCCCTTGCTGCTCACGCAGATCTCGAACTTGACCTGCTCTAGCTTGGTGGCGCCTACGCCACTGACCAGTGCCAGGTCCTCCACCTTCTTGAAGCCACCGATGTACTCGCGGTACTCCACGATGCTGCGAGCCACTGCACGCGTCACCCCAGGCAGGGTCATCAGCTCCTCCTCTGTGGCGGTGTTAATGTTCAGCCGCTCCTGATTCACCAGAATGTTGCTGAAGTTGCAGGCTGCACTGAACTTGCGACTATGGGACAGGTCCGAGGGGTCCCGGGGAATGGAGCGGTGGCAGCCCAGGGTGCTCCCCATGACCGGCCAAAATCAGGGGCCCCAGAAGGCCTCGCCACCACAGAAGAACTCTCTGGCTAGGAACTCTCTGTCCCTTACAGGCACAGAAAAGTGTCCAACTGTACCTTTCACTTGGCCACCTGGAAAACAAATTAACAAACACACAAATCAATGGAATCAGCTAATCAGTTTGCATTAGCACTCCCTACCTAGAGCTGGAGTTCTTAACCAGGAATCCTGGGCTGGTGGCTGTCCTTGAACCCTGAACACACAATGAGGCTGGCCCCTGTGGATTTTCCTCTGGAAAGGTCTGGTTTGATCCCATTGGGATCCAAAACGGCTTTAAGTCGCTCTTCTTGGAAAGAGACCCATCCCCATCAGCCCACACCTCTGTTCCTGCCGGAATTCCGTGCTCACAAGTGTGGGCACGGAGGTGTTCATCGACTCCCACCAGATCCGCCGCCGTTCCCCGCGCCCCACCTCTCGGCCGCTCCCCCGGGGCGTCCTTCTTCCACCTGCAGCTCCGAAGCCGGAGCCCAGCCCCGCACAGCGCTGGGGCCCTGCCTCCAGCCCTGGTGCCCACACGGTTGCGGGTCAAGGGCCGAGCCGCGGCGTCCCTCCCACGCCGCCGCTTAGGGCCGCGCGTCCCGGCTCGTTCTGCGGGAGAAACTCTCGGAGTCTTTCTCCCAGAGCCGACAGCGCTGCAGGACTGCGGGGCAGCGACACCCGCGGCGAAACCCGACCGCCGCGGCCGCACCAGGACTTGCGGCGTCGCCGCAGTTGCGCTGATCCAGGCAAAAAGTCCTGCTCTTCACTCGGACGCCGGATCTGCCAGAGCCGCTCCCAGAGCTCAGCACCAGCGTCTGGGTCCCGTTCGCCGTCCGTGTCAAAGCCAAAGTCCGGGCCGCGCCGCCCGCGCCTCCGCCTGCACCATGGCCACGCCTCCTCCCGCGCTGCCACTCCTCCCCCCTACTCCCGAGGGCACGCGGGGGCGGGGCCCGAGCGTGGGGCCGGGGCCTGGGAGAGCGGAACCCAGGGGCGCGGGGGCGGGGCCCTGGAGTGCGAGGGGCGGGGCTATGTTTGGGCGGGGCCACGGAGCGCGGGGAGGGGCCCGAGCGCGTGGGGGGTGGAGATAGAACCCGGGAGCGCGGAGGCGGGACTTAGGGACGACGGGGCGGGGCCGACACCCAGGCGGTTGCGGCGAGTCACTGCAGGGCTCTCGTAGAGTCGGGGGATACGGATTTGGAATTGCTACCTAGGATCGCGGCTGGCTGGCGGGTTGGAGGCTGTTTGGTCTCACCTAAGGCGAGACTTACGCAGCTGTTTTTCGAAGGGCGGAGTCCCAGGGGGAGAGGAGCGCCCAGGGACGGTCACTGTCTGGCCTCCAGCCAGGTTTCATTCGTCTTTGGCTCATGGGGCAGGGGCCAGGTACTCCTGAGGGTCAGGGACCTCTTGGTCCTGTCAAATCTGAGAACTTTCTAGAGGGGACTGGGTGGAATCTTTTTAACTTCTGCCATCCACCTCCCACCCCCACTTACGACCTCTTTTTCCACTCGAGTATTGCCTTTGCACCGCTCACACAGAGATGCCCTCAAACAACGGCAGTGACTCGCTGTGGGGATGCGCTCACAGGTTCACAGGGGTCACCAACAGGGATGCCCATTTGCACATTTAGCACTGAGTAAATATGCATGTTTCCTTAAACATGAAATCTACTCATTAAGAAGGAAGGAAACGCTAGTTGGGAATGGCAATTTAGTTAAAAATTAAAGATCCTGCTGCATTACGGTGGACACATGAAGCTAGAGTATTCGATTAAACAAGCCATGTGGCGATACTGTTAAATACTTCTCCCCTGGTGTTCTCTGAAGTTTCATCCTCAGCCAAAGTGACCAACGCTTCTGCTTTCCAGACCCGGGGCTTAGGTCAACCAAAACAGCAACCCTCAGGAAAGACAGATGGGAAATGAGAGGCTGCTGAGGCCTGGTGAAATGCTATTGCCTTGAGTCACACTCCCCTACTAGTCGGGACTCTTAACTGCAAGTGAGAGAAATCCAACTCAAACTAGCTCAGACAAAAAAGGAGGGGGGTAGTTAAGGAGCAGACCTCTGTCCCTCAAGCATGGCTACAATCAGTTCTAATGATGTCATCAGGACCTGATCTGACCCCCTCCCCCCATCAACTTCCACTTGCCCCCCCTCCCCAATAGCACGCTACATTATGCCCCTCCCTTCCCCCTGTAATCCTACTGAAGTAAGAAAAAAAAATGTTTAAGAGAAGCACTTTCAGAGGAGGGAAAAGTCTTTGTGGAGCAGAATGTCCTGCTGGGCCTTTGTGACTATGGGTAGACAGCCCAGGGTCATGGCTAGCTGCAGTAGAAACAGAAAAACCACATATTTTATATCCAAACCAGGACACGTTGGAAGGTAAGAAATCCACTGTTAAGTTCACTGGCACAGCAGGTGTAATCTGCTTTTATTCCCTGTGAGCCTAAGCCTGCGTTCCCCTTGGTAGGAATGAAGCTAAGAGGTAGCTGAACTGTTGTGCATTCAAATAGGCAAAACTCAATGAGATGGCGAAACTTGAAATGACTGGCCATGGCAAGTGTTGGTGTCAGGACACGGGGCCATTGAAACTCTCATACATTGCTGGTGGAGTGTAAGATGGTATGACCACTTTGGAAATCACTTTGGCAGTTTCTTAAAAAGTTAAACATAGAGTCCCCGTATGACCCAAACTATTCCATTCCCTAGATACTTACCAGAAAAAAGAAAGTATGAAATCCTAGGAGCTTTTCTTGTTATAGCTGAAATCCAGAAACAACCCAAAGCTACCGGCAGAGAATGGATAAACAAATTGCGGCATACCCATACAAGGAAATACAACTGGGCAATAAAGGCAGACTATGAATACACACAATACTGAAGAATCTCAAAATCATACTGAATGAAAGAAGCCAGGCCAAAAAGAGAGAGAAAGAACATAGTGTATGATTCCATTTACACAAAACTCTAGAAAATACAAGTTAATCTGCAGAGAAAGATCAGCAGATGCAGGGCGGGCACAATGGCAGAAGGAGGGGGTGCAAAAGAACCCAGGAAACTTTGTGGGGGAGGGGGGATGATGAAAATGTTTGCAAGGGCATAGTTTCATGGGTGCATGTATGTCAAGACTGACAGAATTGTATACGTTAAATATGTACAGTTTAGTATACTCCAATTCACCTCAATAAAGTTGGGGAGAATCTTCAAACATAAGAAGGAATGCTCTTGGAACTTAAAGGAAAAAAAAGACAGACTTACTTTGGGGAGGTGTAGGTGACCCAGGGTGGAGAGGAGGGGACCAACAGGGAGCAAAAGATGCCACCCAAGAAGCTGAGTGTGGAGTTAGCAAAAGAGAAGCCCAGTGACTTCCCCAGTGATGGGTGGGCCCGGCAGACGGGGTCCCGGGAGCACAAGTTCACTGTCATTGTGTTAGGTTTCAAGTACCCAAGCGGTCCATGCTTAGCACATAGATGTGACCCTCTGGCGTTGTATCCCCAGCAAGGTAAAACAACGCCACAGCTCCAAATTCGGTCCCCTTTATAACCCCCCCTCCTTTTTAACTCCTCCACCTTTGTCCCATTCCTAGGGTTATTTGTTGTTTTGTTTTCCAGTTGGGTCAGGGAAATTTTGAAGTATTCGGGGTCCTCCTCTTGCAAAGTGGTAGATGAGTAGCTTGTGACAGCTCCTGCAATAAAGTAGGCCTTCCACGGACGTGTAAGGGGACAGTGAATGTTGTATATTCTGCTCCCGCAAATTTAAAAAAAAATGAGAAAAAGAAAAAAGAATTTTAAAAAAATGAGAAAAATTGAAAGGCATAAAGAGTGAGAAAAAAAGAAAAAATGAAGAAAAGGCAGAAGTAAAATGAGGAAAATAAAAATAAAAGAAGAACAAATAGAAGGGGAAATGAGAAAGAAAATTCTTTAATTAGAAATATTAAAATAAAGAAACAAAGAAAAATAATTAAAAGAAAGAGGAATAGAGGGAGAAAAGAAAAATAGTCAGCAAAATTGACAAAAAGTCAAAGTGAAAAAAATTGACATACTCCTTCAGGTGACTGAAAGCGTTTCCTCACCTGGAAGAACCACACACCTAGGCTCAGCCAGGGACTTACATGGGTGCTGGAATTCCAGAACAATGGCTCCTTAAGGGCTCAGAGCAAGAAATGCACCTATCACAGCTTGGGATACTTCACAGTGATTTCCTTACCTCCCAGAACCCTTAACTGTTCCAAAACCAATCACAACAAATCAAAGACAAGAGCTTTTTGTTCATGTGGATGAAACGAGTTCCTGGACCCAATCCCAATGTGGGGAAGGGAGCCCCTCCCTCCCGAAACAAACAATTCTCGGACACCATCAGGGTGTCCAAGAATCAGCTTAATTCCCACACTATTTTCCCGGAGATAGCATCTGATTCCACAGGGTAAGCTTCAGTCCTACAAGACTATACCCCCCCCACACAAACACGCACATTTCAGGTGCCAGTCCCAAAGCCGGGTTGTTACCTGGGCTTCTGACCCACTGGCTACCAGCTACAAATTAGAAGTTCCAACAACGCCCTCCTCGGGCTCAAATAATTTGCTAGAACAACTCCAGAATTCGGGACAACCCATTATTCACTGGATCACCGATTTACTACAAAGGATATTAAAGAATATGATCAAAGCCAGAGAAGAGATTCAAAGGACAATTTCTCAAATAAAGGATCTTCTGTCCCTGCGGACCTTGGGGCCAGCATGGTGGGAGCCTCCTGGTTCCCCAGAGCGGGGGCTCTCTGGAAAAAAAAAACAGACCAACGGGCTGCCCCCTGCCCCAGGTTTTCATGGAGGTTTTGTTGCATAGCTGTGACAGGTGAAGTCATTGGCTCCTGCAGTTGAACTCAGTCTCCAGCCCCTCTCCCCTCCCTGGAGGTCAGGGGATGAGACTGAAGTCCCCAACTTCTAATCACGGGGTTGGTTCTCCTGGCAGCCAGCACTGACCCTTGGGTGGTGTCCAAAAGTCACCTCATTAACGTAAAAGACACCGTTATCACACTCAACACTAATAAATTCCAAGTGTTCCAGGAGCTGTGAGCCAGCAACTGTGAATGAAGACCAAATATCTTATGAAGTCCACACTGCAGTGGGGGATAGCAGTTAAAACCATAGGATGCTTCAGTGCCCCTGGAGTCCTAGTTTGAAAAGGAGTCGTAAGTTTTGACTTTCAAAAAGCTTGTAATGTCTACATTTAACATATTAAAGTCTTTCTCCTCTAAACTCTGAGTGATTGGTCTCAGAATGCCGCCACGGCTGAACCGACATCATGGCACTACACAGAAAGCTTCCTTTGCATGAAACAGTGTAACATTTTGCCTGGTTTGGGTATTAGGGTAATGCGAGTCTCATGGAATATGTTCAGGAGGTATTCCTTCCACTTCTCTCTTCTGGAAGAAATGGTGAGGATTGGTGTTATTTTCTTCCTTCAGTGTTTGGTAGGATTCACCAGGGAGCCCATCTGGGCCCGGGGCTTTCTTTCTTGGAAGGTTATTCATATTTATTCAGTTCTTGTAAGAGACACAGGACTCTTCCATGTGTGTACTGTGTCAGCTTTTCTTTTTTCTCAAAATGAAATTATTAAAGTGAATCGATCAAAAACATTTCCATGACAATACACTAAACACAAAAGATTGTGAAAAAAAAACATTTCAGATTTAGGTTCTTTGTGTCTGTTTGAAGACGTGTTAGCCTGTTGGCCAAGGAGCGGCTGCCGACAGACAGAGGAGCCTGTTTCTTCCGTTAGACACTCGGGGACTGAGGAAGAACAGCTCCCAAGCGTTCTTACGTGCACACCTGAGTCTGTTGGGGTTTTACTAAA